TGCTTCATAGCATCGGGAGGAAGTTCCGGGAATGTGCGCGACAGGAAAAGTGCTTCATCTGCCGCTATTAACTGTCCATGCGCTAAATTTGTTAGCGCGTTTTTAAAGTCCTGCTCGTCCTGCCGCATCACCGTTGTAAGTTTGTAAACTTGGAACAAATGCCACTACGGTTTACCGAATACTTCGGTGTACGGATCGCAGGATCTGTTTCCATATACGGGTGCAGCCATCACTGAGCGCAATTGGTGAAAGTCGCCCACAGCAGTGACACTTTTCCCTCCAAACTCTGCTTCGCCGAACAAATGGCGCAGTCGCGCATTCACCATGCGCAACATGGGCTCTCCAACCATCGATATCTCGTCGACGATGAGCACTTGCAGATGCTGCAGTTTAGTGGCCATTGTGTTTGTAATATCTGCAGAAAGCTGCGTAAGTGCAGTGGAATTAACAGGCAGTTCAAACAGCGTATGAAGCCTAAGCCCTTTGATATTGAACGCTGCCTACCCCGTTGGAACAGATAGTAAGACAGAGGGGAAGTCCGGGTTCAGATCCAGTCGCTTTGAAAATATTCGGACCAGTACTTGATATATAGCTCGGATAAGGACACTTTTTCCTACTCCAGCTCCACCCGTTATGAAATGGTACACGGGACTGTCGTCGCGCTTGAAATGTGCCGCAACGTGCATTACATAATCCCTCTGTTCGGAGTTCAATAAACTGAGCATTTCTTCGAACTCCGAATTGGGAAGTTGATTTGGTAGTTTGAAAATTCTCGACGTATGGGTTTCGTTCGTACATTCCGCTACCGATATGTACTTGTTCCTGTTCCTGATCAAGGTGATTGTTATCGTAGTCAAAAGTTGGTGCAGTGACATCGGCCTCTTCTTCCACTTCGCGCTCTCGGGCTTCGTTTTGTGCCTGCTCTATAGCAGTCTCTAGAACTTCGTTTGAGAAGTAGTGGTACTGCTTCCTAATCCGCATAATTTCTTCGCGATGCGTGTTGTAGAGCGTCTCACAGTCTACGTCTATTATCTCTTCTTCATTTCTCCACGGGTGATATAGCATCACCGCTTCGCGGTAAAACTGTCCCGGCTCTGTGTGGATGTTGTACATTCTGTAGCGGATTGCTTTTGGTCGAGAACGTTTCCGGATAAATTCCGCGCCGTCCATTAGGCGCATAAATTGTCCTCCTGTTGCCCCGCCTTGGAACTCATTATTTTCAGTTTCATCATCTTCGGTTGCAGTGGCCTGCGATGCTAGACGTGATCTAGCTTTACTGTAGTTATACCATGCTGCAAAGTCGGCAAGTGTAACGCCTTCCATCTCAGCTGGACGCTTTGTGTAATGTTCCAGCAATCCATGCATGAAGCAGTCGCTGGAAGTAGGATCCAGATTACGGAGCTGGTGCTGCGGCTTAACAATTCTCACACGCTCATCTGGCGGAGACGTTTGTATAAAGACAACCCGCTCAGTGCTGCATGACATAGGCAGCTGCAAGATGTTGTATGTGGCTTCCTGAGCAA